GGCTCTATATACTAACTAACTATACTAAAAGGACCGAATCTTAAAGCTACTACTTTAAGGGTGGAGTATACTACTTATATACGACTACTATATACATATATAATTAACTAGTAGGCACGTACCTAATATATAACTAGATCTACTATATTAGAGAGAAGATCTTATTACTTTTTATATATCTTATATATTATAATAGAAGTAATAGACTACTCTATTATTATATAACTAGATATACTATAATAGAAATATATCTTCTCTAATTATAGAACTAATATATAAATAAAACTCTAGAGAATAAGAGTATATTATAGACTTTAGCTTTATTCTATCTTAAGTATTATTTAATAGAGCTAGAATAGATAGAACTAGTATAGAGATATTATATAATCTTATTTAATCTATATACTTAAGCTATAATCTATATAGATTTATCTTTACTTCTTAAGTTAAATTATAATATATCTTCATTTACTAGTATAGTAATACTTTAGTTATATCTATTATAATAGATATATATACTCTATAGCTAGTTAATATATATATCTTATATCTTATAAGTCTAATAATAGATAGATCTAGTAGTATAGACTAAGTCTATATACTTATATTTCTTATAATTAGTCTAGTTTAAAGAGAGAGTACTATAGAAGACTTAATAATATTAATAGTAGAGGGTTTCCAACGGAAGGGCCGTCGGAAATATAGTCTAGCCATATTAGGAAGGACCCTAGATTTAGCGCCGAGCTAGTACCCCATTAAAGTCTTATATAGTAGAATCTTTAAACTTTAATAGCTCTTTATTAATATAAGGAGAAGAGATATCTTTTAAGTTTCTTAGTATACCTATAGTAGAATTATAAGAAGAGTATTATTCTAAAATTTTATAAGAGTGCAGCTATTATTAATAGGTATATATAGCTTATCTTATATTAGAATTTAAGTAGTCTAAAGAGGTAGCACCCTATTAGAATATAAGTATAAGGTAATCTTTAACTTCGACGGCTCTTTATAAATAGAAGGAGAAGAGGTATCCTTTAAGTTTCTTAGTATACCTATAATAGAATCGAAAGACGAATATTACTCTAAAATTTCGAGAGAGTGCAGCCATTACTAATGGCCGTGTGTGGCTTATCTTATGTAAAAAGTGGTAGTATTCTATGGAAAGTCGACTGTGTGGACCCTGGTTTTAGTGCCGAGCTAGTACCCCATCGAAGTCTCACTTACCAAAATCTTCAAACTTCGACGCCTCTTTATAAATAGAACGAGAGGAGATATCTTTTTACTTTCTTAGTATACCCATAGTAGAATCGAAAGAAGAGTATTATTCTAAAATTTCGAGAGAGTGCAGCCATTATTAATAGCCGGGTGTGGCTTGTTTTACATAGAGGTTCTGGAGGGGTTCTGGTGTTCCTTACTAAACGCCGAGCCCCGATTCTAAGCTAGTACCCCATCAAAACCAGAACTTCAAAAAAGTCATCCTTTTCACCAGCCTATATCTTTACTAATACTAGGCCGTTTAACTTCGTTTTCGAAAGGACATAAGTTTATATATAGATAAGTATTATTACTAAGTTTTGTGATAGTGCAGGCATGGGAAGGGCTGCCTTTCGACTCTGCCTTAGGTGTTCTTTCGATTACTCGTTTTTCATGCCAAGAGTCGTGCATGGCTCCTCTATAGGCCCGTGCCACGTTCTTTCGTATATCGAAAGAACGGCTCCTTCATGATAGTCTTTATAATAGAGTTATTAGAGAAGATATAAATCTTTAAAGAATAAGAGAAAATGTATCTATTACGCGCGTAACACGTGCTAAGGGTTACGTAGAAAAGGTTACGGAGGGATTACTAAGAGTCGCGCTGAAAGTGTTCGATGCATTTGAGCCCGACGGATCGTGGGTCTAATTACCGTGGGGTTGTAGGGGAATCTCCACGCTTAATCATGGCATCGGCCCGTCGTGTACATAGCTAATATACTAGGAAGTAGTTTACTATATATATAAGTAGGTTAACGGCGAAAAACGGTCTAATACTATCCGCACGTTCTATAGAAAGACGATAGTCTTTGGTAAATACGGTGGGCATAATACATATCGATGTATGCTAGGACCATTTTCCTACTTTACTTAGGCCACTCACATTCGTTCCTATCCATTAGGTCATGATCTCGAATCTTTTTAGGTCCTATTTCTATTTAGATAGTTATACTACTCTCTTAAGAGAGCGTAGCCGAGATAGTCGACATAGCATCCACCTTATGTATAAGGACTCTTACGTAGGAAAATTAATTAGATAGAACCTCTTTATTAGAACGGGAGAGTAAGAATTCTAGTAACTATCATAGGTATGGACGCTAAACGTCTAGATTACTACGAGCTATGGAAGTATCTCGTAGGTAAGTGGATCAGTCTATGTGGGCTGACGGGACATTGGCACTAAAACCAGGCATGATACACTTCGGCGCGTATCCTATCCGTATCTAACCGAAAACGAACTTATCCCGAATTCGGTTCCAAACCCCACGGGCTGTTAATTGTAAACCTAATTTTGGCGTAAGTGCCGTGGGGCCGTTCATAGACCAGGCCTAGCTTCGGTCCGACAAGGCCGAAGTGCATCGCATCCGATTACATAACTTGCTCCGGTAGGTCGAATTAAGTGGTTATAATTCTTCACGCCATCAAGATCGCATCCTCGTTCCAGTGCCGAAACAATAGGCAGTCGATAACCCAACAGATCGGGCGAACCCGAGTAAGCTTAAAGTCCTATAGTAACACCACCTTGATTTATCTTATTGATGAAGGCTAAGGAAGACCTTCAACGATGCTTGGAAGTTCGAGACTGTGGGGTCCAATTACGACGAATGATATCATGCTTATCCTGAAACAACGGTAAACTTGAACGGCTGGGGATTCCACAGATCACAAACCATAGCACCCAGCCATGAATCTCATAACTGCAAGTTGCCAATCACACATATTTACCCATGCCATGTATCGGCTAAGTCCTCATTCTATGAAGCCTACAGCTAATCATGCCACAGTCTCGTACCGCTCTAGTTACCTCAATGAGCAGAGTACCTTCATGCGTATCGGCCCCAGCTCTCGCGGCTTGTTATCAACTTTCTCGTCAAACACCACGAGTAACATTTTAGAAGCATCTTCCCTGTGTACTGACTGTAGCGGGCGGGGGCACTATGACCCTGAGCCCTAGCGTGCATAGCAAGCGATGGTCTACCGTAGACACATCCGAAGGCACAAGGCAACACGTAATGACTGGATAAGTCAAAAACTTAATGCAGTGACGAAATAGTCTACATAGAGTCGCAGCAAGCATGTCCTCGTGCAAAGATCAATCAAGTGCATTGTGTTTAGCTAAAGAGTGGTGTGAACGGATTTACGTCGTTGCATTCTTCACTGCCACTACTAATGAAGCATGGTCTGACGTCCTTATACATGACTGGGTTTCTTATAGGCTGTTGATGAAGGCGATCCGAATCGAGGTCCTAACTAACATGCCTCTTTGTCTCATATTAAAGCAATCGAACTTAGCCGTTGTCCATCGACCAAACAACTCAGAGTCCGTTCAACTACCAAGAAATGTCTTTGACACAGAGCCAACACCTATCTTGCGGGCAGTGTAGACGCCGTAAGACAAAATGTGATCGTGTCAGACCAGAGTGTGGTGCATGCCACGAGGCCGGCACGGCTTGTGTATATCACGATAGCAAAAAGCGTGGTCCTAAGAAGGGGCAACTCCAGGCGCTAAGGGACCGGATAGGTAAACTACAAAAACTTCGTCCTTCCAGGAGCGACGGGTAACTGAAACTATTCTGAAGCTTTACTCGAGGGACAACTTGCTAGACGGCCACAGTCGCACGATCTTCCCCAGGGCACGCAAGGCACTTCACCGGATATAAGCTGCGGATCCCTCGGTACAACCGACACTGACACTTCAGGGACCGATATGCTACTATTAGACAATATGTTTAATGACCTCTCACAGGAAGGGCCTATGTGTGCGGAACCGAGTGCAATGCAACTCGAGACATTATTCCTGCCCATACCAATACCCGATTATCAGATGTTGAAGAGTGGCTCGCATCTATCACCACTTATCCTGATGGACTTGTAAGTTGATTCGAAAGTTGCGATCTGGGATCTGATGTCTTCATATTAGAGAACAGCTTTTCTTCGATCGCGTATATCCATCTGCACCAATCATTCATAAGCATCATTATCTATTGTGGGCAAGTCAAAAGGACCCTCCCCCAGCTTGCAACAGCCTTCGACTAGCTATGCGTGCATCCGCTGCCGCTTTCTCCGCACAGTATGAAAGCATTGGCGAGCTCCTTTACCACGAAGCCATTCAATATTTGGAAAGCTTAGATGATTGTGATGATGGGCTGCCATGGCCTACAGAGCAGATTAGAATAGAAAGGATTCAAGCCTGGCTTCTACTCGGAGTATATGAGTGGATGCACAAGGAAGATCGCCAGACTGCATACGCAGTATCCCGGGCACTTCGTCTTGTTCAAAGATCTCGCCTTGGCGAGCTGGATGCCTCTAGCCATTCAGCGCAAGATGACGCACTGAGCCAACTAGAAGAGAAAAGACGTACATTTTGGCTTGCTTTTTGTTTTGATCGCCTTCTACACCAGAAAGACGATATGTCTTGGGCCTTGCATGAAGAAACGGTGAGCCCTGCCCTACGCTGTTGTTGACCGGGAGATAGTTCATCACGCTTGCACAGATACGACTGCGCTTGCCAGTACCAGATCTCTGGTTTCAAAGTTCGGTGCAGATCCAGATGGGTTGTCTAACCGAGCTGATGAGCGATCTGACCACGGTTAACTTATCGCCATTTGCCCAGTGTGTCACGGTGGCAACCTTGTACGGTCGGTGTCTTACCCATCGACGCCTGGTCCATGGAACTCAACCTCAATTCAAGAGAATCAATGATATACGAGCGCGACACGAATGGCTTTCCAACGCTGCTGAGGAGTGTATAAGATGTATCGATGCCCCAGGCACTAAGGAATTGCCAAGCGAAGATCCTATGCAGATCTTCTCCCGTTCGTTTGCGCACTTACTGCCGATCCATCTCGCTGAGACTATAGACAGTGTTCCTGCACAGAGTATGGAAGAACAGGAAGTGAAGGAGAGGGCTTTACGGCGAGCTCATGCAGCAGCAGCGGAAATAGCACAGTGTTCTGCACACCACCAGTGTCCTACCAACTTCAAAGTGAGTAGACTGTCTAGTTCCACTAGAAGACACATTTGACACCCGGTAGCTCTTGAGCTCTATCTACAGTGTTGCTTGACTAGCGTCCTATTATTCTCTTGTGTCTTACTACGTTTTTTATCGACGCGTGTTTAGAGATCCTGGCGCGACAATCTAACACTATTGCAGAGTTCTATGTTTATGCCAGTTACATTGATTTCCGCGGTGCGATATATCCAGGCAAGTCAATACCAGCATGCGATTGAGACTGTGGATAAATCCCAACTCAACCTAGGAATACTATTGGATGCGTTACATGGGCTGAGAAGCATCAATGTCTCAGCCAGGTTGTTCCTCGATTCAATAAAGACAGAAGAGGCCGGGTTGGTCTGATTCCGGCCCACAAGAGAGCATCGTTCGTCCCACTTGGGAACTTTTACAGTCAATTTTGCTTTTGTGCCAGAACGCTGCTGTATAGTCTTGGGAACAGCATATTGTCATGCTAGAAGGCTAGAATACTGCCTATAGTGCCAAAAAGTTTCGGCGTTGCAGGAGATTTGGGACTTCAACGATAGCATTTCGGACAAAAGGTTTACATAATATACTTCAATGTTCCGGAGAAATGGCACATCATATATATGGAAAGCCAAGTTTAAAACTTAAGCCACATTTAGCTACTCTACCAGAGAGAACTATATGCACGATCCGCACGTTCCATCGAAACTGTATAGCATTGAGAAATCGCTGTCCGATATGTCGGACATACTGCGCGAATATGCTACCATGCCTCTACTCTCTTAATGCGAATGTTCAAACCGTTTTTGGGCGCGCTCGAAAGTACGCCAGCCGGAATGATTTTCTCATTAAGATCCGCCATCTCAAACTCGAATCGCCCAACAAGAGACGCCACGAGTGAGCGAATATCAGCCTGGGCATACATGAAGCCAATACACTTGCGCGACCCATGTAAGAAAGGTAAGAATCCCGCGTGGGAGCTTGTTGCCACTCCAGTACGCTTTTCAAGCCTTTCGTTCGGGCGCTTCTCCAGCCAGCGGCCCGGGTTATATTCCCGAGCTGTGGGACCCCAGATCTGAGGGTGGCGATCAAGAACGTATGAAGAGACGAAGACCTTTGTCCCAGCGGGAACATACTGGCCTAGTATCGTTGTGTCATCCTTGGCAATACGATTGGTTGTAGGGTTTGTTGGCATTAGTCGTAGTGCTTCGTTACAAACAGCGTCTAGATATGTAAGGCTTTCAAATGTATCGGCGACGTTGACAACTTCGGTTTGTCCAATGGCACTTGAGTATGGTATCTTTGTTTTCATCTCATCGCGGACCTTTGTTTGCCACTCGGGATATTTCGATAGATAATATATAACCCAAAGGAAGGCAGCTGCAGTTGGCTCGACTCTGTGTGGCGTGGGATTAGGTTCGTATGCGATGTTAGTGAAATTGACTTACGCTGCAATGACAATTCCTAACATGTTGGCTACCAGCTCGTCATCAGTGAAAAATCCTGCTTGAGACATTTGAACAGCTATTCCAGGCAGACTTGCTGAGTACGTCTCTGACTCCACCTCTTTTATGAATGAGCTAATAGCCTTTGTCAAATCCTCGCTTGAGCTTTTGACCCTCTCGCTGATACCACCGGGAATCAAGTTCACAGTCCACCTCGGCAAGAAGGCATTCAAAGCGTAATAGACTCTCATGTCCCAGGTGGTACCCAAAACCGATCCTTGTAGCTTCATGATCTCATATCTACGGGGAGACTTCTCTATCTGCTCCCCAAAGATGGTACGCCTGGTAGTATCAAGTGTATGCTGCCATACAAACTGCTTGATATCAACTGTCCCGCTCTTGCAAGTGTCAAGTTTGGCGGCACGTTCAATTTCATCGGCCATCTTAAGAGCCCTCTCCCACAGAAGTGGGTACAAGACCTTCACCTTCGCAAGACTGAAGAATGCTGTCATGTTCTTCTTCATCTCACGGTGACGAGCACCTTCAGTTGAAAAAAGCAAATCGGTTTTGAACCACCATTCGAGCAACTTTTTCGCCGCTGGCGGCTTGATCCAATCATATGACTTTTGAACAAGTACTTCTTGAGTGGCTTCTGGACTCGTGAGTAGGAGGCATTCGCTTTCCATAAATCCGTGAAACCGAACCAAGCCTTTGTTTGGCACTGTGTCGGACATTTTCAATAATGTTTCACCGCGGGCATCGGCGAATTGGACAGGCCCATAGCCAATGAATGGTAGTGTTCTCTGAGATCACTATCAGCTGCATTAACAAGTTCCACGTACTGTTCTTTTACCCACTTTAGCTGTCGGTAGTGACCTGAGGCGACTGAGAAAGCGGGGATAGATGAAGGTCTTGTAGGAGATCCATACGGATAGGTTGACAGCAACTTGTATCAAGAGAGGGTTCACGGCGCTTCCTGCGTCGTTGCTGCTGTGGTATTTCTTCAGAAACACGCTACCAATTATATTAATCAGTAGTAGCGGAAGAAGCTTGGATAGAAGGGATGGCTTAGCCATATCTATTTTCTGGAGCAGCAACTTAGAAGATGTATTCCTTGGAAATCGGTGCCGTGGTGAGTCTATCGGTGTACGGTGCTCTATCTCATATAGGCCACTCGACGCATAATATATGTGACGGCATAATACGAATTTTCATGTACATGATAGTGCACATCACCAAAATCGAATGAAGCTTCCGCAGCCAAGTATCTTGTGCAAAATTAATGATAATAATATCAGCCAAACCTATAGCGAGGCTCCCCACAACACACGTCCAATCATTAGCTGCCCTTACTATACGCTGCCAATCGGTAGCTAGATGGAACCTAAATAGTAAGAGCTAGAAGTTTCTCCGACAGGGATTATAATTTAGCCGGAGCACTCATGAATCGGTAGAGCTCATTATCTGTATTATTATGGTTTGTGGAAGAAAGACCGAGGTTAGGTCGATGCGCTAGGAACTGCTTGATATCACGTCGTTACTTTATTAACAATAATGTTTCTCCGGCTTACCAAGTAATTAGGACATGTTCGTTAGCCCTAGCAAAGCATTGGCGACATGCTTGCCTTCATATCACGGTAAAGGTGGAAAACTTTAGATGTTTGTGTGATCCAATGGGCTAATAGCTGCTTAATTGGTCTCACATTCATCTGAGGCAGTCGGCTGACAACGATTCTTGATGTCATTGTTCAAGGGCATTATGAGAAACACGATTCTGCATCGAGTAGCTCAAAGTTTGCGACATTCTGCAGTATCGAACATGGACATGAATTGGTACCTATTCACCTAAGTACATGTGCTCTGATCGAGCTTTACGTTCGCAAGGCAAAAAGTAGGCTCAAAACGCAGAGAAAGTGCAACCGTCGCCCCCCTGACTAGTTCATGCTTTCACTCCTAAAGATACGTTCTGATCTTTTGTAATGCGCACATAAAGATTGGGTTCAAGGAACACTCCATAGCTCTTTACATCACAGGGCTTCAACGGGTCGACCAACTGAATGTTAAAGTGACGGAGTAACTAATCGGACACGGTCAGTTCGCAGTAAGATTCATGATCCTGCTAACTTGCCTCGAATATTACTTTGTTCATTTCCATGAAAGCGATTGTCTTGCCGGCGCACATCCATTGTCCATAACCAAACGTAAGCTCCACGTTACGCTCCATCTCTTCACGTTTGGATTTTTCTAGATGAATGAATCGCATGGGGTTATACACCTCGGCATCGTTCCCGAATAGAGTCTTGGAGCGCAACAATGATGACCCGTTGGTGCAAATCGACGTCCCTGCTGGGATGAAGTGGCCATGAAACGTTTCGCCAGAGGATGGAACAACCTTGGGAAAAGTTCCAAGCAAAGGTGGTCGCATTCGAATGCCTTCATAGATGATGGCCTGTACTACCTGTAAGCATACTCTTGGTGTTTCATGTGATAGTTTAAGGTACCTGGAGACAAGGAAGCTTCTTGGCCTCCACCATGGTGATGGGATAGGACACCGACCCTTCGCGACAGGCACGCATGATCTCTTCCTTTACCATATCGTATATCGCTGGGGCAGTAATGGCGTGGACTAAGATCTGGCGCATAGCACATGCCGTACTTTCAGTGCCAGATAGCAGGAGAAAGAGCCCTTCAGACTCGCACTCCTGGCGATTGAACCCTAGCTTGATAAATGTTTCCTGTGACGTCCTTGGTGAATATCAGACTACTTCACGTTACAAACAGATCATACCAGCATGTCACTTTTCTTTCCCTCTCCCAACTCGAATCGGCGATTAACATGTTCGCGAGCAGCACTTGGATGTTAGTCTAGCCGCAGTATACATAGAATCGAACTACTCACCCCATGAGCGCCCCGAAACCCTCTTTGTCTGTGTGTTTTGGACCGAACAGCTTTAGCATTGGGGTCGAGAACAGGGCCCTACGCATCCAAGGGACCTCAGAAACAGTCGACATTTGAGGCCAGAGTCTGCGTACACCTTCAAGAAAGCGATAATGGTCTTGATCGTCTCGGAGATATCCTGTTTCGTGACCAAACCCGAGGTGTGTAATAACATCCATCGTAAAATAGTTCGTAATCACTCCTAGATTGACAAGTGGCGGATTTTGCCCGGGATCAGAAGTCAAATGTCGGTCACACAGTACTTTAATGAGAAGTTTCACCTTGTCGTTAATGATAACATCCAATCCAGGTGTCTCTCTCCCCAAGTAAGCTGGCATAGAACGTTGTTTGGCCTTCTGGTGTGGGATTGGATCAAGAATAGTGAACAAGTTATCGAAGTAGGGGTTGAACCTTCCCGTCAGATACCATTCTGCTCTGCGGTAGGTGCTATTTGTCGATGCAACCTTCTTCAGAATCTCAGGATCATCTGTCATCACCTCATTTGGACCAATGCGGACCAAGGGACCATATTTTTTATGTAGATCGCGATGAACCCAGTATTGCTTTCCACTCCAGGTAATATATCCTAACCAGAGGTACGATAGGCCAGCGAGTCTTGAAGGAGTCGGAATGTGACATAGACGGCGGTAGGACCAGACACCGGAGAAGAGGAGCCAGATTAGAAAGCTAGCTGCGACGATGATCAAGATAAGACTATGACTTCCAGATCTAACCTCCTGCTCAGTGATAGACGGAGAAGAGCCCATGGTTCGAAGGCTGTACGTCGGGTTGAATGTCATGTCTCTTAGCTAGTAGACACTGTCAGATATTCCTCAGACTTCGAATCAGGCACAATCTAGAAAGCATTCATCTCATATCGTCTACTGGTAGACAGGCTTACATCAGATAGAATCCCGCTACCTCCATTTCAATCACCTCATTCGCTGGCTTCCTGTGTAGGCTGAGCCGTATGCAGCTCTCATGTGAGGTGATTTTCTTTCATCCGCCGGGCATTTCAAACACTTTGACTGGCATCGGCAAATCAATTGAACGCCAATATTTGGGTATAAGTGAAGTGCGTACCCTGGAGCCAATCAATTTCAGTCTCTCATGCAGAGTTATCCCGGGACTCATCACGACAATTCACCCGAACCCCCTATTCGGGTCTTTGAGAGTGGGTCACCTAACATGGCTCCATGGCCAGCTTGTAGCGGTTTAGCGTCTTGAGAACACAGCAATCTAAATGTATTATCGACTTGCGAATATCTTTCTAAGTCAAACCCACTTCTTTTCCCAAGGACCCGAATTAAATTTATTAATGGTTGTAAAGTAGTGTGGCTTACTTTCATTCGAAGTAATTATAGTAAAGTTTGAGCGTCCCCTTTAGAATGCCTCCCATAATTAAGGCAAGGCTACTACGGTCTGGTAAAGTTCTCTACCGCACAAATTCACCCTTGCCAATGTGAGAAAATATTGCGCTAATGGTTCATGGGCTTTATTACAGGGACTTGCTTGCAGGAGCCGTAAACTTTTGAAGATGCACGTGGAAGTCGCCTTCTTTGGCTTTACTACAAAGGTTGGAAACAATAACTTACTATGATAATACGTTGTGCAACCCTCTGATTTCCACTCGATATCCAAGATTACACTCAACACGACGATTATAGATAGTGAAAATCATAATCATAGACCTTTCAATGTTTGGAATTGACATTCTCAAACAGGTGGGGGTACTTTGGCAAGCGGTTTGTCATCTTTCAACTAATATAAAGCTCGATAACATTTGCTTATTCATCCACGCAGTATACGTCAAACTTTGTCAGCTCTATCGAGAATCACCAAAGCCCAAATCTTGGACATGAGCCTATACAGAAGCCTGACAAGCTCACTCCAAAGAATAAGTGGTACTATCCCAGCGAGATTGCCAATGACCTGGAGAGTCTCAACATGTCGACTGTTGTCAAACAAGAAGTCTTCGCTTGTGCATGGGAGTATACTCGATGTGTTATTCCGCAATACACAAATTGGAAGCGGTACATCGCATTCATGCGGATCATCATCATGGGTGTTATTGCAGAGTTCAAAGGAAGCCTAGTCGATGTAACAGCAGGAGACAATATTCTAGGATATAATCTTCAAGAAGTTCTCGACGATCTGTTCGCCGGGACGGCAGACTAGTAAGAGCTCCACCCGCTATTAGAGCCATAACTGACTTTTGAACCCAACAGTGAAAATATGTGCCGTGAATATAGGTCGTTCCTGCTGATAACTGCAGACAAGTCGAGCAACCGCCGCAATGGTGTCCTCTTTCGGCGATATGTGAATGCGCTTGCTCGCTCCCCTCGCCAGGGTTCAGAATGAGGGACGCAGACGCCCTGGCCCGATTTACTATAGCCTCCGCACTGGCTTGTAATGATCTTGACAGTGTGAAGTTGTCAGATGGCGAGTACGAGATCCTCACAGAGATTGGAGACACCCTCTATGATGCAGTAGCATTCTTCAAACATCGGAGCGAGGGGGAAACTAACAGCACATTCGCCTATATGCCGTCGGACAAGCGCATAACCGCCTTCCATCAGGCTCGAGAGGTCCTATGGGCCCTTGATGTGGCCCTCTCTAGAAGAGCTGAGTACACACCCGTTCTAAATTTTGTGCGTTTCTTTGGAGGTCCCATCCATATAATGATGAGACGATACAGATTTGTTGAGGAAGAACTCACAATCGGACGCTCTGAAACTCGAGATGTTGTTGATCAAGCCAGGAAGAATCGTAAGCTTTGGTACAGGGTTGACTCTGATGACGAACGGATGAAGGACGAGGATCGTTTTCGTCATCTTGTGTCCACCGGAAGTGAGATATACATGTTTCCTGGGCTTTGTGGCTACCTTGAAAGCGACCAGAACTGCTCCAGCTGTAATTTTCGAGATTACTATGGTGCAGAAGCACATGGTCGGTTTGGAGGTGTTGTGCTTTGTCTGTCCTGTCGGAGCACCTGGTCAGCACATCTGGATACGCTCCATGAAAGAGCTGCGCTCATCTTCCCAGAGCTTAATGAAGTCTTCTCGCAAACTTAGCAGGCACTTCTCACGGTCAATAGCGTTTGCGTTAGAGTATTGACTCGATTGTTGGCTATTCAAGCTATTAGTTTGTGCGCGATATGAAAATTGTGAAATGACCTTCCTACTTCCCTTACTCGAGTCCACTTTCTACAATTCCACCATTGTATACAAACTGCTTTACCTTGGAACTATGAATCTAAAATATGTATCAGATAGAATTTTCGTGAATAGCTAGAGCACTCCGGTCGATGAATTCAATGGTTAGAGACTTGTATTGGTATCTCTTTTTCATGAGACAGTCTCTTCTCATTTCTCCACCTAACCTATGATATGCACACTAAGAATCTGCCTAACTCAATTCCTAACCCTATGCAAATCATGTGTAAAGACTACATAGACTCCATTTACACTGTAGAACGTATCTCAATAATGTCGCACCCCGATGCGCAGAATCAGAGATCTCAACAGAATATATAAGTTAACAGTACCTCTAGAGATCGTCCAGCACCTCAAAAGCACTGAAGGCCGGATCCTGTATTAGACTACAGTATACGTCCCTAGGCAAGCTGACAAATATATTGTAACCATCGGCATATCGTTTCGCAGTAGTCCCAGCATTAGATGACAAGCAGTCTGCCATGATAAACAAGTTCTCGACAGGCAAAGCTGGAGGAGCCATGAACAATGGTCTGCACGAACCAAAGATAGGAGCACTTGAGATAGATCCAACGCCGGACGTGAGCTCCATACGCTCGCTCTTCTCAGTACCCCTCGAGGAGCTGGTGGGACTGTCACGCATACTCGCGTCGTAGACTATACCAAGAAGAGCGTCCTCTGTGTACTTTTCAAGTGTCTCTGTGATGGCTGTTGCAAGCACCGATGGTCTTCTGCGAACGGTGTGGAGATCCTCTCCGCTGTCAAACATGACTGCAACTAAGGGGCTACCTACTAGTCCTTCTGGGAGGCCAAGGGTCCATCGAAGGCTGAGCGATAGATGCAAATCGAGGGAATGACGTCCGCAGTGTAGTCGCGCTTGATTCAGAGCAGCCCAAAGGAAAGCAGTAAAAGCTATCTGATCTGTAACCTGAACATCTGCTGTGGCCTGTACCCCACGCGTAATCCGCTCATAGTCATACTCCGAGACGTGGAATAGATACTGAGTGCTGACTGAGTTTGGTCTTTTCATATTTGGTATAGGCCCATCACGCGAGACTATGATTTCCTTGTTCGGTGCGGATAGAAATCGAAAGTCAGGACGACGAGTAGGCAGATGAGTAGATTTCTCCAGCATCAGAAGTTTTTTGCCATCGCTTGGTATCTTGTCTTCCACAATGCTGGGGCTGAACAGGAGATCAGGCAATTTTGCAGATTGGCACGGCTCTGCTGTAGTAGGGAACATCTGATTATGCACTGATGACCAATACCCTATGAATAATGCGACTGTATATGCATCTGCCAAGGCATGATCCATATCAATAGCGATTGAGAAGCCTCCACATGTGAATTTGGTAAGCTGAATACGGAGTCCTGACGTTTCGGAAAGACATTTAGGAAAGAGTGCCTCAAGTGCTTTATCAGATCGGTCCCACACAAAGCTTGACGCTTGAGCAGAAGGTGGTATGAGCGACTTGATGCGTGCGTTTGTTTTGCACTCGAGCAATTCACCGCCTGGAGTACCAGACCCCCATGTGACCTTCACCCTTCGGAAAGTACGGACTGGCTCGTCGCTTGTTTTGATAGATGTTGGCTCCAGAGTACCAGTCAGATGGGGGACTCTGTCTAGTGCTCTGCTCAGGCTTTTTCGAAGATCGCTGAAGACGTCCAGACCGCTGTACGACTCGAAGAAGTATATAGCCACAATTGTTCTCCAGTAAGCACCCCAGCTATCGATAGCTGGTAGTACTGCTGTCTTTTTCGAAGCATCCTCATGCTCCGAGTAGATGCGATGATGACCAACAAGCTCGGCTTTCATGATTGTGTGATTATACGACGGTCACACACAGAGTCGCGCGGTGAAGATGACAGGTCGTATCGATTTTCTTCTTCCTCATCGGCAACAGCCGCCAAATACTATTCAATTTCAATTTCAACATGGAGGTAGAAGCTGTATTCAGCATCAGGCGACAAATACCATTTGGTGTGACTAGGGCGTCATTTACGGATGCTGGCGCTTCGGACAAATGTTTTGCGGTTTGCCCCAGGCCAAGAGTCGTTTCTACCAAATCATTCGATCCTATTCATGCTCAATGTCATCATGTGATGACTGACCTTAATACAATGCGACATAAATACGATGGTCACTGAAGTGCGCCAAAGTATCCATCACGACAAGTATTCCTTTACTCTATTCGAGGTATGATCACTAGCTCAAACACGTCTACATCGTCGTAACTATGGTTCTAATTCCTCAATCGTTACTTCTATGCGTTGTAAGTACTCTGGAGTGACTCGAGTCCCAGGAAATCAACTGATAAGACTCCAGATTCCATTTGCGATAGTGGTGTTCATCGTGCAGAGACGAGTGTTCCACCCTTTGAGCAAATACCCTGGCCCCTGGCTCAATAGCTTGAGCGAAATCCCGGCAGCAGTTGCACTAGCAGCAGGTCGCCAGCATGCGTACTACAGAAAACTTCACAGCAAGTATGGTGCGATTGTACGAGTGGGCCCGAGTGAGCTCAGTTTTGTGAACTCAGATGCTTGGAAGAATATCTACGACAGAGTGAGTGTTCATATATCTACAATGAGCGTACATTCCAGCCAACTCGTACCTCTTAGGGTGGTAACTCCAACATGGAAAAACATCCAGTTTTCATTGGAGCAGTTCCAAAGGTCCAAGGGAGTGTTGGATTGACGATGGCACCTCTGGCGACTAAGGATCATAGTCGCCATCGCAGAGCTCTAGGACATTCTTTCACGACTGGCGCGCTCTTAAACCAACAAGAAATTATTCTAGGGCAGGTCCAAAAACTCATGCAAGTGATGAAAGATTACGCGGCCAAGGGCGAGCACCCAAACATGCTACATTGGTGTAAGTGGCGATATGTATTCTTTCAATGTTGATTGAAAGCTGATAGCTATAGTCACCTATACCACATTTGATATCATGGGCGAACTTACTTTCGGGGAGACCTTTGGATGCCTCGACAAAAAAGCTGATACTGACTGGTCACTCGCAATTATCAATGTCTTTGTGAGCGGAGCTTGGGAGCAAGCTATAAGACGACTGACTGGAGTGGACACCTACGCTGAGTCTATCTTCAAGAAATTACTTCTTCCAAAGAGCGCAGCACTATGGCGACGCTTGCATTTTGAAAAAGCAAAGGTGGCGACCGAGAAACGTATCAAGGACGGAGATAGAGACCACAAAGATCTAATGTACTTTGTGCTTAAGAGCAAAGAGGCCCGGCAAGACCTTTCAGACATGGAACTGATGATCAATATGGTTTTACTCGTGAGTGCAGGCAGTGAAACAACTGCCAGTACCTTGACGCCGTGGGCCTATTTCATCAATGCAGACCGACATGTCTACAGCCGGGTGGTGGGGGAGATCCGTGGCAAGTTCAAGAGGGTTGAAGACATTCGCTGGGCTAATCTCCAGCCGGACAATCTGCCGTACCTCCACGCAACGATCAATGAGACCTTGAGACTCGTCCCAGCTGCGGCCGTGAGCCAACAGCGAGTAGTTCCGATAGGAGGTGCTGTCATATGTGGCGAGTCTATACCTAAAGGATGCACTGTTGCTGTGCCATCTTTCGCCATTACGCACATGGAGTTCAATTTCGCTCGCCCGAATGAGTTTTGCCCACAGCGCTGGCTTTCACGCGATCATCCTGATTGGGATGACCAGTTTGCAGGAGATAATTTGGCAGCTTCACAGCCATTCTCTGTAGGTCCCCGTGCTTGTATTGGTAAGCAGCTTGCCTATTTCGAACTTTGCTTGATTCTTGCCAACTTTATATGGAATTTCGATTCGGAGCTAGCAGATCCGAAGGAGTCAAATAGATTATGGTCTACCGAGGATGATATGCGGTGCATGAAAAGTTATTTGAGCTGGACAAAGCCGGCTTTACCTTTGAAGCTACGGGAGGTGAAAAGGGATGCTTAGTATCATTTCTTGGCCACATAGTTTGATACTTTTCAGACGCAGAGCCAAATATGCAGCTTCATAGATGACCAGCAAGGACTAGAGCTTTCCAGCTTCAATTGTAGTAGTCTTTTAACTAGCTACAATGCCTATAACATTGTAACTTCTTCTAACCAGTAAAACATATACTGTTCATGGGATAGTCAATGTCCACCCCAACAGTACGTTTAGTGTGACTAAATCTGCAATAAGTCATATATATGGATGCCCAAAATCCTCATACAGGCATGATGCGATTGCGGCATCTCACACTACCAGGGGTTGTCCTACAAGCAGAAGCCTGTACAAATAGCTCTTCTATCGCTCATCCCCATCCCCCAAACCATCGGCCATACTGAACGATATTGCGGTGCATTCATGGCATATCATTATGAAGCTACCTGAACTTGGAGATCAGTGGTAGGCACAACATTTCCCCGGCTCTACAATTACGTTCGGAGCTACCTCCGATAGTATCGCCGGGCCTGAAATCTCTCCACGTGTACAGCATACAGCGCTCCCAACGCTGCAACTGCCGGTGGCTCAGTTTCTCCTCAGGGACCACGTCTTTTTTTGCCGAGGCCAGGCAGAATTAATAACTTAAACTCTTCTCCACACTCTGGTTGATTAATTTTCACGCCATACATACTATCAAAATTCTCCGAGGATCGTGCAGGGATACGCGGTTAGCTCTTCACCCACGATTTTAGCTCTTTACTTGCTATGTTGGCTCTTCACTATACAATGTTGACTCATGCACCTGAAATTATTGTTAGATCACTAATAAAGTGGGCGGTGGACATGGATGCGCTCGGAGTATTTTCGCAAGTTGGCAGGGGTTGTATGTGCGACGTGAATGTCTGCTTCCGGTGGTAATGTCTATTTGCGGTAGTCATGTCTGTTTGCGATGGATTGGAGACTTATATTATCCTCGCAATGTGCCCGAGGAAGATATTTGCGCTGAGTAGAAATAAGTAATAATACGAGTGGGCAAATGTTTTCAAGAACAATTTCACATCGCACGCGCGTGTAATTTGGCTACGCGTATGTGTGCGTGTGAGCGTGAGTGAATGGACGAGTGCTTGTACGCAACACAACATATATGGCAACTTAACATTCAAGTTAACTTCACGTAGCCCAGTCCCAGTCTGAAACAGCCAGTTCTCTGCTTTCTTCTCTCCCAGTTCCTACATCTCAACTTCCACAAATCTTCAACGTCCAAAATGGTACCTCCATCGCCTAAACCACCATCTTCTCGCCCATTAGCCATTACTGGCTTAAGCTGCCGCTTCGCAGGTTCTTCAAGCACACCATCCAAGCTCTGGACTCTCCTTTCTTCTGGTACAGACGCATGGTCCCCAATCCCAGCCACACGCTTCGACGGTGCGTCCTTGTACCACCCTGAGCAGCAGCGACTAGACCGAGTAAGTCACACTCCTACTCTTAGCGAGATCGATATTATGAATCAACCGATACTAATGAGAAAATTAGCATCATGTACAGGGAGGGTATTTCCTCGACGAGGACATCAGCGCATTCGACGCGCCATTCTTCGGAGTTGCAACGGAGGCGGCGGAGGCCATGGATCCTCAGCTGAGACTCTCGATGGAAGGAGTATTCGAAGCATTCGAAGATGCCGGCTACACACTCGAACGCATGGCCGGTTCAAACACCTCGGTCTTTTCAGGCACATTCGGCCGTGATTATAGTGACCGCCTTATAAAGGACCCCGAAACGCTACCCGCGTCTTACTTCACTGGCAATGGTGCCGCCATGTACTCAAATCGCATTTCGCACTTCTACGACTTGCGCGGGCCCAGCGTCACTACAGATACAGGATGCTCGGGCGGTATGGCGGCTCTGCACCTCGCGGCGCAGAGTATCCGCAGTGGAGAGGCGAAAATTGCGATTGCATGTGTCGCCCACCTGTCCATGAACCCAGACCTAGTGATCGCACTATCGAACCTGGGAGTACTGAGCCCGCAGGGAAAATGTCTACCGTGGGACGAGCGCGCAAATGGTTATGGGCGTGGCGAGGGCATGGCGGTTGTGATACTGAAAGACCTTGATGAGGCACTGCGGGATGGAGATCATGTGCATGCTGTTATACGAGAGTCTGTGATGAACCAAGACGGTAAGACAGGGACTATAACGTCGCCGGCAATGCGAGCACAGCAGGAGCTAATCCGGGATTGCTACCGGCGTGCCGGGCTTAATCTTGCCGATACGGCGTATATCGAAGCACATATGACCGGAACGCCGACTGGGGATCCGATCGAGGCAGAGGCGCTGGCGACTACGTTTGGTGCGTCGAGGGCTCCGGGTAGGCCAGTGTACGTAGGGTCTTGTAAGGGAAACCTGGGCCATACAGAACCCGTAAGCGGGCTGGCAGCGGTCATCAAAACCGCCCTTGTACTGCAACATCAGATCATTCCTCCGCATATCAATTACGAGAAAACTAACCCGGCGATACGTCTGGAAGAGTGGAATCTGAAGTTACCACTTGAGACGACTCCGTGGCCGGCCGGGGCACCATTACGGGCGTCGGTCAATAACTTCGGTTATGGAGGCACGAATGTCCATGTCATTATGGAGGCAGCGCCGCGAACGGCAGCTCTCTGGACCTCATCTCATATATCTAATATAAACGGACAGAAGGGCACAAGTAAAAGTTCTGTCAGCAATGGCATTACAGTCGACATGAGCGAGGACGCTGATGTGTCCCAGTCATACGTAGTTATACTCAGCGCGCGGCACTCGGCAGGTGTCTCGGAAATGGCAAAAAAACTTTCCGTCCACCTTAGAGAGTCACTACGGCAGGATCATAATCTATCCCTTGCTGACGTAGCCTACACTCTTAGCGAACGACGATCTCGCTTCCAATGGTCGACGGCAATTCAGGCAATGAGTGTCGAACAGTTAGCTGAGAAGCTCGAGGACCAACAATTCAAGAGCATTCGTGCCGGTACGCCCCCTCGCATAGGATTTGTCTTCAACGGGCAAGGTGGGCAATGGCCTGGAATGGGTCGTGAGCTCCTTGCTCGTTATCCTGTGTTCAGTGATGCCATGCGCAAGTGCACGTCAATTCTCCAGGAGTCACACGGCGCATCCTGGTCACTCTATGGTGAGACAGCAGCTTGTCCATTCCCATCCCGCATTATACACTAACATATCTCAGACGAGCTGTGCCGCAACGCAGAAACGTCCCGTATTGACGACGCAGAGATTAGCCAGCCCGCAAACGTCGCGCTACAGATTTGTTTGGTGGATCTGCTCAAGTCATGGGGTATAGTACCAGCAGCTGTGGCTAGCCATTCCAGTGGAGAGATAGCGGCGGCATATGCTGTGGGTATGCTCACTGCTGAAGAAGCGCTGGGCGTGGTTTATCATCGCGGCTCGATCGCAGCCAGACACCGAGATGAAGGTGGCTTGAAGGGCGGGATGATGGCCGCGCGACTAAGCGCCAACGAGGCGGAGGAGTATATCAAGGACACATCGACCGGAAAGATTGTGGTTGCTTGTGTCAATAGCCCAGCCAGTGTCACACTCTCCGGCGATCTCAGTGCCCTCGATGAGGTTGCCGTACGACTGGCCAACGACGCAGTGTCTGCAAGGAAATTGAATGTCCCAGTGGCATACCACTCTCATCACATGCAGCAAGTGGCTGAGATATACGAGGATCGGCTGAACAGTAAAGTCGGCAGTAAAAGCAGCATTCCAAAAATCCCATTCGCCTCACCTGTGACCGGTCGCCTCCTCGGTACCGGCGAAGGTCTTGACGCGAAGCACTGGGTCAAGAACCTCGTTAGTCCAGTCTTATTCTCCAGCGCCCTAGAATGCATGGTGTATGGGAGCGATGGGCAGAAGACGCCCAACGGTGCTAGCGATCACACTCCCTGTGTCGATGTTCTGCTCGAGATCGGAGCCCACAATACACTCTCAGGCGCCATCAAGGAGACTTTGTCCCAAACACCCATTCCTTACACCACATGTTTACGACGAAATGCAGACGCTGTTAAGACAATGCAGGCCGCAGCTGGTGATCTTGTGACAAGAGGCTGTCCCGTCGACCTCTATGTTGTCAACCACCCGTCGGGGGAATCTGCCTCCTTCGTTCCAAATCTACCCACGTACTGCTGGGATCACCGCAACACATACACGGTCGAGCCACGCACATCACACCAGAACCGATATCGCCGCTATCCTCCCCACGAACTTCTAGGAAGCTCTGCACCAGGCACGAATAGTCTAGTTCCCACGTGGCGCAACTTCCTCCGCACCACTGATCTCCCCTGGCTATCTGACCACCAACTTGAGTCCAAGACTGTATTCCCCGGGGCCGGTTATGTCTGCATGGCTATCGAGGCCGTACGGCAGCTCAAGATGTCTGCTGGAGCAAAGCAAGATCCGGCGGCGTACCGTCTGCGCGATGTCGATATTCAGAGCGCCCTTGTGATTCCTCCGGACGCAACAGGCGTTGAAGTTGTCTTCACGCTCCGCGATTGTAGCGATAAGGAGTTGGACTACAGGGGATGGCACGAATTTGAGCTGTTCTCCATTGGTCCAAACGACGCCTGGTCACGACACTGCATCGGCTTCGTCTCCACCGAAGATATATTGCCTAGTAAGACTACGTTCCCGGGATCAGATGATGCCATCAATGGCGTCAGCCCCCACGTTCCAGAGAACCAGGGAGAGGTGGTTGATGCAGAAGTCGTCTTTGACAGTCTACGGCGGATGGGTATATACCATGGCCCGACGTTCCGGCACCTGGATGCGAGTCGTATCCTTGGTCTAAAATCTACCACTACGTTTAGACTGTCTGCAGAAGCACAGAATAAACACAATGAATACGTCCTACACCCAATTACTCTGGACTCCATCTTCCAGACTTGTTATTTTTCACTGCCCAGAGAGGCAAGAGAAGGTGCCATGATGGTTCCGCGGTCCATTGGTAGCATGACTGTCCCACGAGGCCTTTTACCAGAGACTGGTAAGCCTCTAACGTCAACTGTGGAGTTACAACGCTGTCGCAAAGATGCCGGAATATTTGCAGGAACAGTTACCATGGAGCCGAAGCATGACCAACTTGGCCTGGCATTGGAGATAAGCAACTTCCGTGTGCAGAGGGTCGCCGCCGATGAGGAGCCCACAGATAACGTATTCCGAGCCCATTCTCAGGCGCGATGGGAGCTTGACGTGCTTCACCGTGTACCCCAAGCTGTGAAGGAGTCAATGCAGATAGCTCTCTCGGAAGCAGAATTAGCTGATGAAAGGTCATATCGCGAAGCTGCGTATTACCTAATGGTTGAAGCGCTTACTGAGCTTCAGTCGGAGGATTCTGAGACATGGCAGTCGTATCATAAAAGGTACTTCCAATGGATGAAGGCCATCACTGTGGCGGTGGAAACAGGGCAGCTAGAAAACGGACACGGGCTTCGGGCAAGCGCCTGGACTTCAACCTCTCAGACACACCGGGAAACGTTATTAGACGCCGTGGCCAAGAAGAACGCCGGTGGACGACTTCTCGTGGACATAGGGAGACATCTTGCCCAGATCATTCGAGGCGATATCAACGCATTGGAAATTATGACAGAGGGTGGTCTACTCGAACGCTACTATGCCGAGACACCCCAGTTCAACCATACCTATCAGCACCTGCGAAGGACACTGGAGCTCTATGCCGTCAAGAACCCTGGTGCAAGAGTCTTGGAGATTGGCGCTGGTACTGGCGGTGCCACTACGTATGCTCTGGCAGCCTTTAGTGCGAAAGACGAGAGACGAGCAACGAAGACATTGGTCGGCCACTACGACTACACTGACATCTCCAGCGACTTCTTTGCCGCAGCAAAAGAAAAGTTTGCTCATTGCAGAAGCAAGATGGATTTTCGGAAACTGAATATTGAGGCCGACCCGATACAACAAGGCTTTGATGCTGGAACTTATGACCTGGTCATCGCGTCGCAAGTGTTGCATGCCACAGTCAGCTTGAGAAACACATTAACAAATGTGAGAACGCTTCTCAAGCCTGGAGGCAAGCTGATCTACCTGGAAGGAACACAGCATAGCATCAATTTCGAGCTCATTTTCGGGACTCTACCAGGCTGGTGGCTGGGTGAAGAGCCCTACCGCCAGATGAGTGCTATCGCTAACGTACCGACATGGAATAAGGTGTTGCGATCAAGCGGATTCACCGGGGTCGATTTCAACATTCAGGATTGCGTGCATACAGAAGTTCAAGTCAGCAGCCTGATAATGAGTACCGCATTTAAAATGCCCACATTCCCCTCTCGCATCTCTATCGTTGGAGATCGAGATGCTCCACCAAACTGGCATAGGGAGCTCGCTACCACACTGTACCACAAGACCGGGACATCGCCACACATTGAATTTCTCGAAGATGTCCAGCCAGATGAGAAAACTCTGTATATCGTCACCGTCGAAATGAGTAGGTGCCTGGTCAGCTCGATGGACCAAAAGACCTTTGAGAAATTACGGCATCTCTTGGTGGATGGCATGGGAATTCTTTGGGTTGGACGTGGTGGATTTATTGATGCCGAAAAGCCTCATTGGGGATCGATCTCGGGTCTTTTGCGAACGTTACGGCGAGAAGACACGAACAAGCGATGCGTGCATCTCGACTTCGACACCAACACGAATCCTTGGGGTCTAGAAACAGTGCAGCACATCATGCATGTATTCGAAGAGTCATTAGACTATTCCACCACTGACAGTGACATGGACTGGGAATATGCAGTCAAAGACTCGGTGCTGCATGTCCTCCGATACTATCCTGATGAAGCTCAAGATGTGGCGAACAGCGGACAAAAGTCCTTGGCCGAGCCTCAGCCGTGGCGCGTACCAGGAAGAGACTTGCAGTATCAACTGCCCGAGGGATCCATTGATTTGCTCGACCATATCGCCTTCCACGAGGTACCTGATGCAAATGATGACCTTCCGTATGGCATGATTGAAATCGACACCAAGGCCTTCGCACTGAACTTCCAAGATCTCATGCTAGCACTAGGCTTTGTGAAGGAAGTGATGACCCTTGCACACGAAGCTGCCGGAGTCGTTAAGCGCCTGGGCCCTGGAACAGACCGGAGCGGTCTCAAGGTCGGTGATCGTGTCTGTGGTGCGTTTCGTGGCGGTTTCGCCAGCACTAGCAGAGGATGGTGGGAGAATATGATCAAGGCTCCAGACGAATTATCCTGGGAGGAAGCAGCAGCTTTCCCGATTGTCCACCTCACAGTGAACATCAGTCTTGTCTACACCGCACGACTGCAGAAAGGTGAACGCATTCTCATTCATTCCGCTGCCGGTGGTGTTGGTCAGGCTGCTATTATGTGGGCGCAGTCTATTGGTGCAGAGATATTCGCAACCTGTGGGACCAAAGAAAAGAACCTCCTTTTGCAGGAAAGCTTTGGTATCCCAGCTGACCATATATTTTCGAGCCGAAACACCTCTTTCGTAACTGGGGTCATGAAAGCAACGGATGGTAAAGGTGTCGATGTAGTTCTCAACTCCCTAGGTGGACCGCTGCTGAAAGCGACCTGGCAGTGTCTCGCAGACTTTGGTCGGTTTGTCGAAATCGGCAAAATCGACTTGCATGCAGCGAAACGACTCGACATGTCGCCCTTTGCGAGAAACATAACTATGTCTGGAGTCGACCTAATAGCTTACAGCGAGTTGAAGCGAATGGTGATAGCCGACGCTTACAAGGATATCATGAGACTATATCATGCTGGAAAGTTGAGACCGGTTGTTCCCATCACAACATTTAGTGTTACCGACATGGGCAAGGCCATGAAGTTCATGCAAGGGGGAACACATACTGGTAAGTTGGTAATCCATGTGGAACCCAACAGTCTCGTCAGTGTAATTCCTCGTACACCAGTCTTGGAGCTTGATAAGATGGACTTCAGCCATCTGGTCGTTGGGGGTTTGACTGGTATTGGAAATACCATCGTCATGAGATTAATCGATAAAGGGGCCAAAAATATTGTGGCCGTTTCACGTAATGCCGTTTCCCACCGGAACGCGGCAGCGCTTCGGGAGATGGCACAAGAGCATGGCTGTAGGCTGCTTATCCAGAACTGCGATATTGCAAACGATGAGCAATTACTTCAACTTGTGCAGGACTTGAGAGAGAAGGACATTCCACCTATCGGAGGAGTTGTTCAAGCTGCCATGGTCCTTGATGTAAGCAGCACTGAGTACTTCCCACCCTACTTGATGACTCCTTCTTACAAGCCTACAGGATACAGTGCTTGAGCGGATGACATACGAGCAATGGCAGAATGGTGTAAGACCCAAGATTGCTGGAACGTGGAACTTGCACAATCTTTTACCTGAATTGAACTACTTTATCATGCTTTCTTCAGGTACTGGCATAACAGGCAATCCATCACAGGCAAACTACGCAGCAGGAAACACATTTGAGGACATGCTTGCTCGCCACCGCACCCAAGCCGGCCATCCTGCACTCTCAATCGATCTAGGGGCTGTGGACGACGTTGGATACGTGGCGGAGCAGGGCGAAGACGTGATGAAGCGTGTAGGCACAGCAGTATCGGCCATTAGCCTCTCTGTGGATCACGTAATGCGCCTTGTCGAGGGTGGTATCACGAATCCGCTCCGTCGAGATCAAGCGCATAGCCATACCATCACGTGTTTCCCACAGTATGCGGCCCTTCCCGATGATCGAGGGATTAAGGGCGACAAACGATTCGGCACACTGAGGTTAGGCGATGACGATATATCACCGACCGACATTCAATCCCCATCGGCAAGCCGTGTACAAACGCTCATTCGAGAGTTTGTTAACACAGGGCCGACTATGGCCGAGCCAGAAGCCAAACAGCTTGTGCGAGAGTTGTTGTCAGCTGAGATTGGGGAGCTATTCAACATAGACCCAACAGACATTGATCCCGCCGTTCCCTTGACACACCATGGTGTAGATTCACTGGTCGCTGTGCGATTCCGCAATTGGATCAGCAGTGAGGTCAAGGCGCGGGTCACTATCTTCGAGATCTTACAGTCGGCTTCATTAGTGGAATTTGCGGGGCTGATATGCTCTCGGAGTAGTGTTCTCTCAAGGGTATAGGATGCGAAAGCGGCGGGTACTGGGAGATACTTGGTGAGGGCGATGTGTGAACGTATCTTGCGGCGCGATACGACTGCTTACCCACAAATTGTGGCTGTTCACATGTTATTGGGGAGCTCAGATAGTGAAAGGTAGGATTTCTTCTCAACAGCATTCATCTCTACTACGTCATGTATTAAATTAGACGGTCTCCAGATAGTTTGTAATTGATACCAGAGTGGATGCTTGAATGCATAGAAGAGAAGAACGACGGGTGCCCATCGGATATGATGCTATTGAAAGTCTACTTTTGTTTTCGCCTCCGCCTCTACACTCTACATTCGTGGGCAGCTTGTTTCTCTGTATGTCTACCCTTCTCATTTCATATGCTCCGAGACTGATGATGATTGATCTCTTGTTTGCCCGAAACAAGCTGATGTCAGCCAGAACTGTCTTGCATCCGAATGCATGCGCTGACATAGAATCGATACCAAAGTCGTCAGGAAGGGGGGTTTCTCTGAATGATCCTCCTCACTCAGATCCTGGCCCCGGGTTCTGTCTGTTCTATACGCGTATATACCTCTACAGGAGTCTAACTCGAGGTGGGAAAGTCTGCAGAAATGATCGCCAGTTAACCACCATAGACCGCGGGTCTATAACTCATCGAGCACGAGACGGTGCATATTTAGATACAGAAGTGCTTGCTACGTAAAATCTATGTGCAACTCCACATTATAGTGCCAAGTAGATGCACTTCTGATATCCCTAGGACGCTTCGACTCTTAGCTGCAGTACCCTTGTACAAGCTACCTTTATTGCAGGACGTCACCGCTAATAGGAGCAGCAGTGGAGTACTAAAACAAACTTCGTAGATCTGGCGTTCAGTGTGCTACTTCGGTAGCGAACGTAACTGTTGCTGCGACTGCATTGCCACGTGTTGTTACAGGTGGCTGCTTAGTAATCATCGCATCCTACGGAGGCGTGCGTTTGGGGTCATGACAAACTTATGTATGTAAACACAGCTGCAGGTGCTTGGGTGCATTCACCGATGTAGTCACTGATTGCTGATCGGAACGACATGTATGCACAGGGAGGAAATCATGACGAGACCAGTACTGCAGACGAAATATGACATGCGGATAACTGAAGCGGATCCAGTGGCACTTTGTTGTCTTCTAGGAGACGCCAGATGCCAGTGAGATGCGACACAGCGGGGACGATTTGCAAGCGCTGTAACACCTCGATCTCACCTTTTCCTCAACAATGTCGCTATCATTGTCTTCCCGAGAAAAACTAGAAAGCCAAGGAAACGGAGAATAGAAAGCACAGCCGTCGAATACAGCAGAATTCGGAAATAGATTGGCGTACGTGTCTTGGACGCCAAAGGCACACCCGCCGCCTGGAATCGATCTGTTGTGACGATAAGGATGAGGATGAGATTAGACAGCAGCCACGAATACACCAAGCCCGTGCGGAAGCTCTTGTATGAGTCATCTACGGGTTTGGCTTCCTTTCCGGGGGCACTCTTGGCCTTGGGCGGTGCAAGCGCTCGAAGTACGACATTTTTGAACTTCATGTCGATATCTTCCTGCTCCTCCACAATTTCCTCTACGACGTTTGCCTCGCCAGCTATCGTTTGAGCTGATGGTAATTTGTCGGCTACATCAGAGCCTTTGGTACCCCAGCTGACATCATGCCAATTGTTGAAGGCATACACCATGAGGATGTTGATATACGTCGACATGAGTACAAGGTATTGCGGAAATGAATGGAACATATGCCAAGGATCAAGATATAGGATGGATGCCACGAAGTTGAGCCCATAGATAGTCACGATGGCGATCAGTATTAGACCGGCAACACCTGTCCCCCCTCCGAAGAAACTATTGAAGAAGGCCCCTAGAGAATCAAAGGATATCTGCTCGGTAATTGGTGCTGCACTGAAGGCTCGGTATACGAGGTATCCCGTGAGGAGCAAGATGTACGTTTGTATGATACCGAAAACGATGAAAGATGCAACGTACGTGTACCGCGATCCCTTCGGACGGTTGCCGAGTGCTAGGATGAATTGAAGAACGAGGAAAGCAACATAGATCCAGCCAAGGATCACGTTCAGGACCGGCGTAACCTTGTCGCCGAAGGGCCAGCCGTGGTAATTTGTAATGGGTTGTGGCGTGCCGACGAGTTCCATGATGATGGTCGTTGTGAGGTAGTAGCCGGCGAGCGAGAACCACGTAAACACCACATTCAGGAAATTGTAAAGGAGATGTATGTGCAGGAAAGCAAGTCGTACGATGCTGTGGCCAGACGAGTAGAGACGAGCAAAATGCATCATAGAGTAAAGGGATGCAGCGAAGGATCCATTCAGCCACCGTCGACGTTGGCCAATAAACTCTGCAACACCATCCGGGACATCCGTTTCACCCTTGGATGATTTGACGTAGCCAAGGTGCCTATAATTCAGAGATACATGTCAGCCAAACCCATATTGTCAACCTGCATCGTCTACAACCAGCATCTGCCGACTTACCATTTCTGACCGGCTTTGGCGACAAGCTCAAAACAAAGGATGCGATCCTCAGCAAGGAACATGTTCTTCTTAAAGATGTTCATTCCGTCAATGCCCTTGTGACCGAGCTGTTTCGATAAGGTATGATCCCCATGAAAGTACTGTTCCAATGGTCGACCCATGATAGCCCGGAAGCGATAAGCCGAGAACGCACCCGGGAGGACACTAACATAACCGAATGCGCTTTCTAATGGCTTGTCGAGAATATTGGAGATCTTGTATTCGAAATTCTGTATGGCAACCAGCGGGTTCAAAAGGGCCTTGCCACCTTCCAGCATTGCATGAATTTCGCCGCAAGCACCACCTAGATCCCGATCATTGTAGAATGACTCCCATAGTGCTCGTAGTGAGCCCGGCCCAGGCTTTGTGCCTGCATCTATGAGAATGGTAACTTCTGGATTTAGGATCCTCCCGAAAGCGTTGAACAACCATCGGTGTGAGTTGATTTTTTTACTGTTTTTCTGCTTCAGACAGAAGATGAATTGAACAGGTGGCAGATTCGTACACGCACTGCCCTTGTCATTCCTAGGTTGAATGAGCTCTTGGTCCGGCGTAACAGACAATGGGCTGGTGTATTCAAATATGTGTGCAACAGTCTCATTGCCATTGACATCCTTCTTAAGTACGCCATCTTGATATATTCCGATTGTCGCCAAGACGTCAAAGACTTCAGTGTCGACATTATTAATTCCATCAAACACAAGACAGACGACAATCTTCTGCCACGCAGGCCCTCCGACATGCCAGAACTTTGATTTTGTGTTGCAGATGTCGCGGATATTGCGCATTGTTCCGTGTAAAGTTCGCGCAAGGAGAGTCTTGTCTTCATTATAATAGGTGATTGCAATGAGGAGCTCGGTGTGGCGGTTGTAGGTCTGTGGTCGGAGGCTGTACCCGTTATTGAGCGTGAAATCGTTCGGATCGCAAGTAGCAGCTGTGTAGCGCATTTGTGTGAATTCTTCTTGGACAGCGCCCTCGGAATTGCGGTATTGTAGCTCTACGGCATTCTTCACAGCGCTGGGCACTGGGTAGTCGATGCTAAGGACGTTTTTCTGGCCCAGCTTGACCCTACGCGTTCGCGAGCGCTTGACCCCTGGGCCGCTCTCTGCAAGAATATGTGGCTGTTGTCTTTGTACCCAGCTGTCGTCCGAGCTCGTAGAGTGCATGAGTTGTGGGCGGTAGCCAAAGCTACCTCTGAGTGCTTGTCCAGTGCCAGGGTCTCTCGTCCAGTTCGTAACAGGCGCATACGTCTCTCTGAGATCGTAGCGGGAATCTCGAATGGAGTATCGGGGGCTATCCGAATGGGCCAATAATAAATTCTGAGCATATTCATCTTGTAGAGTTGTCAGTGTGTCTGGTATGGACTGCGACGTGTGGCCACCCTCATCTTGGTACTAAAGCCAAGTCAGTCAGTTGGTGATTACTTTCGGCGCCACAGGGTTCACACGTACGTAGGGCGTGTGACTTAAATCTTGCAGTTCCTCGTCGACTTGGAAATTCTGATGACCCTGTTCTACAGGCATATCGCCAAGTTGGGATGGATAGTGAAGCAAGAGAGGGCAACGAAGAATGGCGAAATAGCAGAATTTGCGGTGTTTCTAAATATGGGGTGAAGCCTACAATGAGAGGTAGTTTTAATATAGCAAAGTGCGTGTGGATAGTATGGAACTTCTCAAGAGAAAAAATGGTGAAGGATGCGGTACGACAAGTCGACATAGTGACAGGCATCAGAATCATTTTACCAAAGGCATCCTAGGCGCAGGCGCAGGGACAGGGACAGGGAATGTTATGTTCTGCCATGACGAGCTTGACACAGGGTTGTTTGCATTCACGGCGTATCCACTCTGGAATGCAGTGGACAGCTGGCTGCTGCTGACGTTTCCGGCGCAGTGAGAGGGATACATTGACATGAGAAAAGAGCTGACTGTAGCTCAGCGAAGAGCCAATTTTGTCATTGCATTTCTTAAGATCTTAGATATGTTGTGATGATGTTGGTGCAGTGCAAGACGGACAGGAATGCACAGGTAGTGGTACCGGGCAATAGGTTGTCAGAAGAGCTTGGCATTGACTCACGTGATCACGACCGTCTACGTGATCCGCATGATCTGCAGCAAGCCATAAATATCCAGATTGGTATAAACTTAACATGCTCATGCTGCTCTAACTGCCTGGCTTTTGAAGGCTCTGGCTGGTTCTATGTATCGCGCACAAACGACTGTATTGATGCATCTTTGTTTCAGGACAGATACCAGCGGAGGAAACAAACGACAGGGCTATGATCTCCTGCTGCCCACCGCCCTCCGCCGTGAGTGTTTCAGTCTAATTTTAGCGTTGCAGTTTTGATGGACCCATGCCGTGGACGCCAGTGGACCAACACCAGTATCAGCACCAGCACCAGCACCAATGAAAACGTGATGTCCCGGACCAGCCATCGCTCAAATCCTGCTCTCATAGCTGTGCTGGCCGTAGCAGGTATTAATAGTAGTCAGTCAGCCCTACACGCATATGACGCTATACGGTAGCATTGAAACATTATGTTGTAGGCTCGACACTTCCCTTTTCTAGCCTAGGCTATGGCGCTAGTAATCGTTCCAGATTTGAAAGGTGTCGTTTTATCTGAACATGCTTTAAATTAACAGTGTCTGTTAATCCATACTTCCGCAGGTTTGCACTATGATATTTATGGTCTCAATTCAGGTAATTGGAGCTGTCGTGTTTTGCAGAAGGCTCTTGAGCCTAGTCTCGGCTTGAAGACGCTCTGAATTTCCTGACGCTGGGCCTGAGATTGCAGGAAAGCGCGGCCACGGCAGCCAAGAAGTAAGAGAGCCAGATCCAGATCGCCCATGAAGTCGTGGCTTTCCTGGCCCTGAAGACGAAGTAAAGACCAGCGGATCGGCCAGTGTGAGAGGCTCTGCAGTGGGAGTGTCAAAAGAAAGCTGTTTGGAAGCCGTTGCTGGCGATATCAACGCCGTAGACGGCGTGTTTTGACACTCATTTCCGGTTTTCGTGACATACTGTCCATATTTTTTAGAAGAAGAAGCCTCGCCCACAAACGTGCTTTCACTTGCATCCCCTTCGCCCTCAGACCAGTGTCCAACTTGTTTCCCCGTAATGATTTCTTTCAAGCTACCGTAAGCCGAGTTCTTCCCTTTGCCAGATTCACTGCTGGCCTTGCTCCCACCAGCTAGTCTTTCACTACTACTTGACGCCTCAGGCACAGCAGTCAACGTCCCCTGCGTCATCCGCCACCCTTGCCGTCCGCCGTGCTGTCTTCCTATCCAGCTGGGCTCGCTTTCTCGAATCTCGCCCTGAGGTGGTATATGTGCTTCGTGTTCATCTGCCAAGCTCATCCTGCTGCGCGCACATATTTCGGCAATTGCATCGATGGCGCTTTGTATCTCGGGTTCAACAGCTCTTAACACAGCGTCGAAGCTGAACTCATTCGTAGGTGGCAAGTGACTCCGTCGAGACATGTTGCGCGGTATTGTTGTCGGATGTGGGCTTCCGTTTCGTGAAGAGCCGCGACTGCCCATGTACGTACGAACGACTACCGGTTGCGAGGACACAGTTGTCGACGACCCGGCGGACTTCGCTCGCTGGTGTTTCGTCCCAAGCGGTTGTAGAACAGCGGTAGATTCGTTATAAGATGAAAATTGACCCGCGACATGCCTTGGCCTGGAGGGGATTGAGGTTACGCTCCAATGGCTACTCAGCCCACTCAGACTGCTCATACCACTTGAATGCCCGTGTCGTGCTGTATTAGATCGTACCTCTGCAGTGACTGTCAGTGCAGGTAGAGCTCCAACATTCCGTGCGGGGAAGTGGGTGCCACTGAGCTTGGAGGGGGACATGCGCAGATAAATTGGGTTTATCGCAAGATCAGAGGCATCAGCATGGCTCTGAAGAGTATTATTGGGATGCATAGTTGACACAAAACGGAATTGTGGGTATGGTAGAACCCGAGAAGCTGGTTATGTTGACATGATGTGCTGCATTCATGACTTGAAGAAGATACGAAGGGCGCGCCGATCGCGGTTGGGCTAGCCCGGATCCGGTTCTATCCGTCGTTTTCCTGAACCTGAGTCGCTAGCACTAGTGCACGCGTGTTCTCTCTCCCATCTTTCTACCTAGAGCTCTTTCTATACCTATTCTAAGTGTATAGGAGCTTTAAAAAGTAGATATAATAAGTAATTAAATATATTTCTATCCTTCTATAAGGTTATCTTATTCTTATAAGGTCTCCTTAAAGGGATAGAGAAGAATTTTAAAAGGTTCTTAGAAGAGGGCCCGTGCGAAAACTACGTTAGGTTCTAGGAAAACCACCTTCCTCCTCTCCTCTAAGAAACTAGACCCTCTTATTATAGAATAGATTAGGGGGTATAGAGCTTAAAAAATATATAGGATTAATCGCCTTACTTTACTCTATAAGTCTATATAGATATTTTATTATATAAACCCTTATATAGAGGTAGAGAGGTGGGATAGCTATCTAATAGAGGTGTGTGAGTACATGCGTGAAATTGAAAAGTGCTAAGCCGACTCAGGTTCTAAGGAAATGACAGATGCATTAGTCCATGAATAGAACTATCAGGGCTCTGGTTCCGATTGGCTATTACGAATACGGTGGCCTGTGTTCAATCTTCTCCTCACCTTTAAAAATCCTCTCACTGACTTATGAATCTGGAAGGCATGATGAACAAGCGTGAAGGCTGTAGAGGTTTGTGTGGAAGCTGTTGGGCTTGCTATTCGGGTTTCAATATACATATCCTAGATCAGACTAGGACAGATGACACTTTATAACACAACAAAAGACAGCATATGGGGGACAGGACATGCTACCTTCCCTGAACTCTGAAACAGTACTTGTATCTTCTGATCGCCAAGACACGCGAGATCTGCACAATAGTAACATAGCAGCGATGATCATGTTCTCTCCCTGTTGATTGCACTATTAAATAAGCTCTGACTCGTTTTACTTCTCTATGCAGACCTCAGACGCCTCGCTGTGAATCCCCGTTGATAGGCATGCCTTCAAGATGTTGTTGCAATAGGTTTAGCCTTCACATATGCTCCTCACTCATCATCTTTCTCTTCCTCCTCTTTGTCCTTTTTCCTCTCTTTTTTCTTCTCCCGCTCCTCTCGAAGAGCTTTCATGACTTTCTCGTCTTTTTCGTCCCTCTGTTCGTCCCACTCGACATCGTATTCATCCGCAACCGCCTTGATTTCCTTCCTCAGGGCATTACCCTCCTCGATCAGGTGCTGCCATTTGTCCACATCAAACCCTTTTGACGAGTACAACTTTTGCTGCCGCCGTGAGATGGTGATGTTCATCGCCGATCGATAGGACACCTCGCGGTTGTGATACAAGAACCACACGTAACCCCCAATCAGCGTCGAAAGACCCACGAGATATGTTACGGGCTCCATCGTATCCCATCCCAGTTCCGTCGCAAACGTCAACCACGAAACTACACCCCACCATCCACATAGCCCGAAGAACCCGCTGAACGCGACACGTTGCGCATGGCGATGCGCGATATGATCACACTCATTTTTCAAATCCGCCAGAGTGCTTAATTTCTTCGCAGTCTTCCGCAAGCGCATACGCAAATAGTAAGTGCGATCACCGAAACTTGGTACGCCGACGCGAATATCTGCTGGCGCTCCCTCTATCTCGACGGCGAACTCTTTGCCGCGCGCAGCATCTCGAATAAAGTCGCCAATCTCGGTGCTCGAGGACCAGCGCACAAACTTGCGCTCGTGCGAGGATGAGTTTTCGTGGCCGAGGCCGGAGTAAGATTCAACCCCACCCTCGCCGGGACCACCTCGAAGTTTATTGGCAATCGTGGAGTCTTTCTTGTTGATCTTCCCGGTGCGTTCTGTCTTGCCATCAATCTTGATCTCATCGGCTTTTTCGAGATGTTGGGCGTCATCGTCTTGTTCGTCGGTGCGCTCTTCTTCGGGTTCTTGTTGCGTGGCTTCTCTGTTAATCTTTTTTTTGTGTTCGATGGCACTGTCGGTAGAGTCTTCAGCTCGGAAGTAGACAGCTGGAATTTTCTCTTTGTTATCGATTTCAAGAATTGGAAGTTCAGACTGTATAAGGCGTTCTAGATAAGAGAGAGGTTGTTGGGGATGAACCAAGAGTGCAAGAGGCTCGACATCTTTGCGATCTGTGTTTACGTCCTTCGTCGTTAGGGGAAGAATCAACTTTAGCATTCGCGATGGCGTGGTTAAAAGTTTCCCTATCGTAGACTGTTAGCTTTCAAGCAGAAATGGCAGATGGCGGGGGAAGAGGAATTCGCCCACGAAATCATGCCTTTCGTCATAGCTCCAGCACTCCTTTGACGTGCTACGGGGGCTTTATCCGATCCTTCTCGGTGCCATGGTGTCCGTATCTGCTTCTCCTTACTCGCGACAACAGCTTCATGGTAGTGGTTTTTCTCTTCATCCGTGACGTTTTGGCTGAGATTGGCAGCTGGTTGCGAATAAGACGAGTCGTGAGGCTCAGAGATGAGAACGATTTGCGAAGATGCGAACGTTCTCGCTGGGGTGCGTCGCGGACCGCAGGTAGCAGTTCTGCTTTTAATATGTGTATGGCCTGAGTGCAGTCCAGTTCTGAAACACAGGAGCGTTCGTGGAACGGCTCGTGTACAAGATATCATTGTGGTTGAAAGGAGATCTCAGTAGACGGAGCTGCTAGATTTGGTCCATCATTAGGAGACAATGGGTCGCATTGTAGACCGTGGCGGATAAGGAGTGACGGAGCCATGAAGCGGTTTGGAGTTGGGATTCCACCTCGAATATTGTGACGCGCATTGATGACGTCGGTGGTGGACCGACTGCCCGGGGGTAGGTAAGTCACTACTATCAAGCCTAGAGTTCCACAGCTAAGGCAATGAGGCAATGAATTGTCACCAACTCGAAAAAGGTTAACAAATTCAAAATAAGCTCTGTGGACGGTCCTAAATCCTAAGACCAACGCCCCAGAAAAAAGTATTGGTATAATGCTACTCCAGCGCTCTACCAGGTTCGGCACCATCTGAATGCTACAAGACGACACCAGATGTCAGTCATTCGGAAACGGAACAAACAAAAAGCATTTCCCTGTCATACAGTTTGTCCGACGCTCTTCATCACCATCCATACATCATTCGTCGACCCTAACGCCAGCGCAAATGCCATCATAAACGCAAGACCTCTTGAACTACTGCCCTTGATTCCGAGCAGCTTGCTTTGCCTGAAATCCCGTTAACTGGTATGTCGATCGTGTAAACCGTTGTAACTGACCTTCATCAATGCTATTCTCTCCTTGAGGTTCTGAGTGACTTCTGCAGCCCTCTTCCAGCTCTCTGCGCCGTTTGTGCTGGCGCCCATGTCTGCAGGAGATGCTCTACCACCAGAGCTAGACGAAATGGAGGCAGATGCTCTAAATCCTGAACCTGAACCGCGTAGCGGACTCAGCTTCGAAGATCTTCCATCACTAAAGTTCTCCTTACCTTCCCCTCCAGGACTGGCAGCGCCTGCTCCTCCGTAAGTCCTGCTGGCACGGTACCGACCTACAGCGGCACCTTCATAACCACTGTCACCAAAACGACCACCAACAGATCCATTCATACCAGTGTCAGACAGAATCTGCTCACTTGCATCGTATGGGGCAGGAGAGGTTGCGCGGATCTGTCGGCTGAGCTCGCGTTTCAAGCGGTCTACTTCCCGCTGCTGAGTGGCCACGAGCTGCTCGGCAGCGTCAGCATCAGACCTTGCACGTACCAGCTGTGTTTCCTTGGCTTTGATGCTTAGCACATCGCGTGTATGATCCTCAATGAGCTGAGCGTTTTGATTTTGAAGCTCGTGTATTTGTGACGACAGTCTGGTACGATCCGATCTTAGGTCTTCCGTCTGTTTCCGTAGGCGTTCAACCTCCATTCGGAGTTCATCAAGTTCGGCTCGGTCAGCAGCTGCGAGTCCCGAGACCACAGGAGGTGGTGGAGCCTCGGATACTGCTGGCTTACCAAGCGGTCTCCCTGCCAGACCTCGACCGAGACCAAATTTAGGTGCCGCTGGGGGTGCATAATCCTCCTCCTCCGGGCTAAGCTCGCGAGTCGCGGGGGCGCCAATAAAGCCCTGCCGTTTAGGTGAAGCTGTCGAAGTGCCTGGCAGAGGTAGGCCAGGTGCCTTCTTTGCAAGTCCAGGTGCCCTTAAACCTGACGGCGCTGTGAGACCTGACTTGGGTGGACCTAGTTTTGACACCCCAGGGCGGCTGGTCGGTTTCGGTGCTAGAGGCGCTGTATCTTCAGCTGGAGGTGCTGCAGCGGGCGTTGGCTTTTTCGCCATAGGTTTTTTGCCAACCGGCCTCTTGCCAGCTGCAGCAGGTGCCGGCTTTGGAGGCACTGCAGCTTTTGGCTTGTACTTAGCCTTAACTTCAGCGGCGTCGTGATACTCCTTTATCTTGGTCTTCCGGATCTCATCAAGTCCCTCGAGATGTGCGTTCATGATGCGGTCACCCATGATTTTCCAAAGAGTACCAAGCACTTCTGCGCCGGCATTTCGCTGAACCTCCTGACTCTCGGTGAGAAGCTTGGTTGAAGCATCTGCAATGGACTTGACTTGAGCGAGTTCCGGCGCGGCTTTCGTGCTCTTCAAACACCGAATGAGGAATTTTGTCGACTCCAACTTTACCTGGGGATTCTTATGTTTGAGGAACTCTAAAATCTCTTCTAGGCAGTCATTAAAACTTGTCGATGCAAACACGGCGTCCAAAGCCGAGCCGATGGCATCAGCCACAGCTTGTTTCTTCTCTTTGAGTCTTTCCATCATGGGACCCATAACAGTGGATCGGTACTTCGCGAAGCTACGTCTCAGTCCCCGGCCGAAGAGTTCAATACAATTAGCTGCCACTGTAACGACCGCAATATTGGCATCCTTCATCGATTTGGCGAGCCCCCGCATGATATTGTCAAAAGGACCTTCTTCCATTTTTTGTACGTTGATTGCAGTGTGAAGTTCGTCGAGGGCTTCTTTCCTATCTTTCCACTTGGACGAGCCTAGTCTCTCCTCGAAGTCCTTAGGTACCTTTGGCATCACATCTACTGCTAGCTCGAGGTCCTCGGCCTCTTCAGGTAGTTCGTCCTCATAGCCCTCGTCACCGCCACCTGGACCTGCGACTGCAGCTGCTGGCGGGGGAGCAGCTTGTTGAGTCCGGAGCAGTCGTTCTTGTCTCGGAGTTGGCTCATCTTTTACTTTCTCGAACAATTTATCGAGGTCCTGCTGCTGCACGGGCTTGAGATCATTCCAGAATAATGGCTTCATTGAGTCCTTGAGCCACCTGTAAAATTCGACAGTGAGCTCTTGTGCGGCCGCTCGTACATTTTTGTCCGCATGTCCGTACACCTTTGGAAGCACTTTCAGGGTCTGCTTAGGATCGATAGTTTTACACCCATAAGCGTGATAAGCAGCAGTGAGAGCGCCTAGAGTTGCAGCGATGACCTTTGGTTGCTTATGCGAAAGCAGGGCGAGGAGCTCTTCAATAATGGGATCTGCCTTATCAAGCTCGATATATAGTAATATAGCCTCTTGTGCTCTTTGCTTTGCAGCAGGTCGTCCTGTGAGACCTTTTTCGACAATGGGTGCAATGGTCTCTTTCCTTGTCCTGCTTATTATCAGTACGCAGCTATCGACTGGATCCTATAAACCCTTGTTCCTACCTCGTGCAGCCGTCCTTGCCCGCGATCTGAAGAAATGAGCACAGTGCAGCCAAACCTTCCTGTTGTGCCGCAACATTTGAATCTGCTACAACTCCCTTCCAGATTCCCGAGTCAGACACAAATTGTCTCACTAGTGGATCATTCTCTGTCTGGGCCACATCAAAGGCTTTGGTGGCAGCTTCATATCCACCTTTTCGAGCTTTCCAGTTCTTATGTATGAACTGGTCTGACAGAGGAAGTTGACTGAAATCATCCTCACCATCCGCCATAGTTGCGACGAACTGTTGTGAGGGTAAAGGCGGACGAGGCGGGGTTTTCTGTGGGCTTAACCGGAGTCCTGATAAATGTCTTAGCGGCCTGAATATAAGACTCTTGTGCATGACTGCGACACAGCAAAGCAGGGTACAAGGACGAGTTACTTTGCCCTCAACACATCCGCTTGAATAGCGAGATCGCATTGCGCGCGAGGAAGTAACGGCTTGGGGTTCGACGTACTGTACGAATGAGCAACGGCCTGGATCCTTCGCTCAGTACTCTTATTACCGGAATCGCGAGCGAAGGTTCAATAGCACCAGAGGCGCACTCTTAGGGATAAGTTGGGTATGAGTATAGAAATACGGAGTGTCGTTGGGTTGTTTGGTGGAGTAGCAAAGAGGCTTAAGCGTGGTGTTGACAAAAGTCGCTTGACCCTGGTTTCGCGGCCAACCCAACTAACAAAATCGCACCCAACCAGCGCAGGGGGGAGGGGGTATCCATTCAACGGTTAACGTCATCTGCTCCCTTCTCTTGTACTGCCCAATTTCGCCCTTCCACATACATGTTCTGCCCATAGCTCTTCTGTCACATACGACATTCACTAGTTCACTGACGAGCTGGCATTGTTGTCTGTCGCGTTTGTGCAGGCAGGTGCAGATATATCCGACCGTTTCGCGTCGTCGCGAAGCGGTTGTCCACCCCACTCATAGACCGCCTCCGGTCTGGTCAACGACACCACAGACTACACATCCTCCGACTGTCTTCGTTTGAAGTAGTCACTGCATCCACGTCTCTCTTCTTTTCTCGAGGCATGCCAATAGGTTGCGGGACCAAGCATGTCCCAGCTACTAACGTCGCGGCAAGCCGAAGAGCTGTATGTTTTGGTTGTGATTCTCCTAGTAACAATACTTACTAACCACATTTAGGCACAAGGCAATGATCGCATATCTTTCGGCTACTGGACTCAACAAGACGGCAGCGACGCTACGAGAAGAGATAGAGATTGGAGATACATTCGACGATGTCACGAGTAAAAAGTATGAGGGCTTGTTGGAGAAGAAATGGACGAGCGTTGTGAGGCTCCAGAAGAAGGTTTGCAAAATCCACGTAGCGCGGCTATAAAGATATCTAATTACCCGAGTCGAACAGATTATGGATCTGGAATCGCGCAGTGCCACACTACAGAAAGAATTAGACTCTGCAACACCAACGTCACTCATGCGCCGAAATCAAGACCCTTCTGCCTGGTTGCCGCGATCACCCGCGCAACACACCCTACAATCGCATCGTTCGCCAGTCTCCTGTGTCGCTTTTCATCCCGTATTCTCGTCTCTTGCGTCCGGGTCTGAGGATACAACAATCAAGATTTGGGATTGGGAACTTGGAGAATTGGAACGGACTGTTAAAGGACATACGAAAGGTGTCCTAGACGTCGACTTTGGAGGCCCAAGAGGAGGTACGCTATTGGCATCATGTTCTTCAGATCTGACGATCAAGCTATGGGATCCGTCAGACGAATACAAGAATATACGGACTCTTCCTGGCCATGACCACTCCGTGTCCAGCATACGTTTTGTCCCCTCTGGAGCAGCAGGTGCACCATCTTCTGGGAATCTTCTGGTCTCGGCTTCACGCGATCACACACTGAGGATATGGGATGTTACAACGGGATACTGCGTCAAGACGATTCGAGGTCACTCTGACTGGGTCCGAAGTGTTTGCCCGTCATTCGATGGTCGCTGGCTGCTTTCTGCAGGAGTAGATCAGACAGCAAGACTATGGGACGCACAATCGGGAGAGGCCAAAGTCACGTTTCTCGGCCACGAGCACACTATCGAGTGCGTAGCTCTGGCCCCACCAGCATCATATAAACATCTAGCATCTCTTGCTGGCTTAAAGAAAGCACCGGCCAGCTCATCATCTGCTGAATTCCTTGCGACGGGCTCAAGAGACAAAACCGTCAAAATATGGGATGGACGCGGAACGCTAATTAAAACTTTAGTGGGCCATGATAACTGGGTACGAGCACTTGTTTGGCATCCTGGTGGCAAATATCTACTGTCTGCCAGCGACGACAAAACGATCCGATGTTGGGATCTAGACCAAGAAGGGAAGTGTGTTAAGATAGTCGCAGATGCCCACGGCCATTTTATCAGTTGCATGCGGTGGGCTCCAAGCCTCTCTAAAGATAGTGCAGCAACTACTAATGGCGACACGAATGGAGCCAATGGAACTCCATCAAAGAAAGAAGATGCTGTGGGTAAAGTACAAATCCGGTGCGTCATAGCCACAGGAAGCGTCGACTTAAATGTTCGATTATTTGCATCATGAGCACACAGGCGGGTTTCCATGGAGTTGGTGGTTTATGTTACCCTGTCGGCCAATCTCATGGCATACCCCAAGGCGTTGTTTTCTGCAAGCACAACATCGTTATAGGCTTTTTGCGTCTACAGCATAGGAGGCTGTCACGAATATACGTTCGCCAAAATATTACTGAGATAGTAACAAGATGGACGGATGGCCTTTGTACATAGATGAGTCGTCCGGAAAATATCACGTGAAGCATTGAAGAAAGCATTCGTTTGTTTGCAAGAGTAAATTACCAATTATTGGGAAGCAATTGTCCGCAGCTTCGTATGCATATTTGTTTTGCTACTCCTGCTTCGAGAGAATTCCAGCGCTGATTAGTCGATGATTTCCTACAACAGCGTAGCGCCAACTACAGTTCTCCACCTGGGCACCTTGACTTGCCCCCTGTCGACATTCCGCCTCCGCCAATCTAATAAAGAGTCGCTGCCCACTTCTGACACCTCACCTCTTTTGCATGACTCTCCGAGAAATACCAATGAATCATCATACCAAGACATCCGACTACTGATGGACTCAGAGAAGACGAACCTGTTTCTGTCGGAGACGGCCCGCATTCACAATGTCGGGGCTGCGCTGACCACGGACCGATCGCAAAGAAACCGGGCGGTTCGCTTAGTTGCTGCAGTCCTACTGGGACTGATGACTATCGGGCTCTGGTTATGGAGTAGTATGAACTACGCCATTGAACAGTCGCCAAGATATCCTGATTTTGATAAGGTAGGTCAAAGTCACCATATCAAACACCACATGGAAATCTAATTCGTAGACAGATAGAAGCAAGTGCAACCCTCAAGTGGTATCCTTGTCATGAAGAACTCGGTCCACGATTTTTGTGCTCCAAACTTCGTGTGCCCATGGATTATCATCGCCCGCTCAATAAGTCTGGCAGCCCTCATGTCGACTTGGCACTGGTAATGTATCCAGCCAGGTCATCTAGTGATGTCCACTGGTCCAGGACTCCGATGCTATTCAATCCTGGAGGTGAGGGGCTTTCTTGGCCACATCGATTAGAACACTTAATAACCAGGCGAATAGGTCCAGGAGGTTCCGGTGTAGAATTTCTACTAGGAAGGGCGCCGCAACTTCAACAGATTGTTGGAGACGACTACGACTTAGTTTCTTTTGATCCTCGTGGCATAGGCTACTCGCGTCCCACTGCTGACTGCTTTGCCTTTCCATCGAACGGCAAAGTTCCCTCGAACGATGATCGAGCATATGGTGATTCGCAGCGCGTACTGTATACCAACGAATTGGCCGGCCACGGACTCTTCAACTACAGTAGCCGCTCTACACTGGACATTGATAGCCGTAATAGGGCCCTGGGTCAAACTTGTGCCGAAAAGGATGCAATCCAGGGAGAAGACAGCCTTCTTCGTCATATAGCCACCCCAAATGTCGCCCAAGATATGGTTTCCATCATCGATGCCTGGAAGGACTGGCGTCAAACTCAATGCGCGAGTCACAGGTCTAAGTCTGGATGCTGCGAGGACGAGGAATGCATCGTCTCTGCTCATGAGGACCCTGAAGGCAAACTTGTCTATTGGGGCTTCAGCTACGGCACTCTACTTGGGGCCACATTCGCCGCTATGTTCCCAGATCGGGTGCATCGCATCATCCTTGATGGCGTAGTGGATGCCGACCACTACGTTAGCCCGACGTGGAGTGAAAGTATTGTTAACACCGATGACATCGTGAACCAATTTTGTCACTACTGCTATGAGGCCGGTGTCTGGTGCGACTTGTATCGCAAGGGCGACTCTGAGGCAGATATATGTGCCCGCATAGACATAATCTTCCAATCATTGAAGGACAGTCCAATTCACGGCGTAGACCCGGTGCGCCATGTTCCTGCGCTCATCGAATACCCGAGGGTGAAGAGTATGCTTTTTATAGCACTCTACGCACCAATTCATAATTTTCCGTACATTGCAAGCTATCTGAACACTATCTTTCTGGTATACCAAGAACAAGGGTTCCCGTCTACGCCTTCGGTTCAGCACGCACCTAGCCTCGCTGTCGGGGTTGACTCACAATTGGCCATCATGTGTGGCGACAAGCGATACCCTCTCAACGACACGATACCCATTCTTGAGGAGCGCCACAGAAAGATTGCTGAAACGTCCAACTTTGCTGATGTCTGGATGACACTGATGGATACCTGCTCTGGATGGAGCATACCCAGCAAGGATCCCCCTATGCGCTGGGACGATCATCCCACAAAGAAACCCAAGCCTATCAAAACACGCTTCCCATTACTATTCCTGTCCAACACTTTTGATCCCGTGACTCCTCTCGTCGCGGGTAACCTGATGGCCCGGAAATTTGTTGACGCCGGTCTCGTCGAGCTGAAGACTGAGGGCCATTGCACTCTCGCCGCAGTTAGCAGATGCATGACGACCAAGATCCGCGATTACTTGAGCCGGGGTAAAGTTCCCAGCGCACCAGGAGAATTCATAAGCCATGACTGGGAGACGTGTGAAGCCGATGAGACACCGTGGAAACCATACGAACCCATGTACGGTCAAGAGGGTACCAGAAACGCAACGACCGACAGGGAAATGTGGGAGATGCACAAGACGATGAACTCGTGGAAGCAACTCCAGGAGTTTGCGAACACGAGGGGAGACTTTGGATACGGGAGGAACCGACTTCCTATCCTTGGGTTGTAATTAGGTGGAAGTATGAGATCGCATACCTAGAAATACACAGCTCCAGGATCTGTATGTCTGGGGTAATTAGCCATATAAGCCAGAATCCCGGTGATTGCACTACCTCACGTGTAAACATATACGCACAGGCTCGTGTGCTACCGCACTCTTTCATTACACAGTCTGCGCATCATTGTCGTTTTAGTGAGATGAACCCTCATACAAGTGAGGTGCCTATGGATGCGGTAGTCTGTAAGCACACTATCCGTCGAAAGCAGGACACACGCAAAACGGTGTCTGTCTCATCGCGTCAACAACGATACCAATGCCACTCACCACACCCTACAGAATGCGCCTGCGAAGATTGCAGGTTTCCTTTCCTCGGTACGTTACGTTTGGTAAAGAGTGCGATCGTTCATTCGGGCGGGACTGACGGGCATCACCCATGTATCCCACTGTGCTCAGCGGCTGCAGGAATCTATGAGGCAAGAATTAGTTGGCATCCGTCTGTAGCTTTTTCAGCGCGACTCTTGGCACGCGTCGCGCGCGTAACACACCACTTTTTCTCTTATTCTTAAAAACCGCTATTTCCTTTAATAACCCTAATATTAAGCCTCTAGAAGATATTAAAAGATTATATATACTTTTAGTTATATCTAAAGAATACTTTTTATGTTCTTTTAAAGACTAAAGAGTCTTAAAGAGATAGATAATAGAGAAAATCTCTAATTTCTTATTTTCTCTACTACGTACCTTAGTACTTTAATAGTTCTCTACTTTATAGAGCTTTTCTTAGAATAACTAATTAGTCTATTCTTTTTTTATTAATTTTCTTATATAGAAAGTAAGAAACTATATAGAGGTATATTTATATATAATTAGAAAACTTTCTAGAGTTCTAGTTCTAGAGATATTAGGGAAAAGGTAAGTTTAAAGAATAAGAGAAAAAGTAGTGTGTTACACGCGCGACGCGTGCTAAGAGTCGCGCTGAAAAAGCTATAGACGGATCAACCGGTCGATCAAGGATACAAAGCAAGATTCATTAAGCGATGCAGGCCGTCTAGATGCATCCCTAGGGCGAGGAAAGCACGTAACAAACAAGGATAAGACCCCACACCCAAAATTAGACACAAATAGCAGGTTGAAAACACGTAATTAATGTTTGGGTGGGTCGTTACTTAATGAATAAGCCAGGTGGCCGGAGATAGATCCATGGGCTTGGCGATTTTCGGCGACACGTCACGCCTAAATAACCTTCCGGTTTAGGTTATCGCGATACGATGCTACTATATGGTTTTATTTTAGTTAACTTAGACCTCTACGAAGAGGACGCTAAGGTGCTACGCCTTTCCTCGAAGAGGTCTAAGGCTAACAACGCTATAGGAGCTGCTCCCAAGGACGAGGCATTTAAAATAAGCTAAGACTAAGCATGTTAACTTCGATGTTTTACTAGTCTAGAGAGATAGAAAATCCCTCGCTCGTGCTTTTTAATAGAATTATAATATTCAAGTTATAAGTAGTAGTTTCTCAGAATGTTTGTTCTTTATTACTTTCGTTCTACTTTATAATGGTTTCTCTAATAGTATTTCTACTCTCCGCTTATCTTCTTTACCTTCCTTTTATTACGGTACTAAAGTATTATATTAATAGGTTATGTTATAGTTATACCTTAGATATTTAACCAGCTGTTAACGAAGTAATATATATAGTATAGCGGGCTTAGTCTCGTATATAAGGCTTCTAGAACGATAAAGATATAAGACTCATTTTATATTAACTCTTTAAGATTTCTAACCCGGAAGAAGAAGCCTTTAAAAAGGTATTTGTTATAGACTTCGGCTTTGCCTTGTCTCTAGCATTACATGACGGAGCCGGGACGGATAGAGACTAGTATAGGGGTATCACGTGACCTCGCTTAAGACTATACTTAAAGCTATAACCATACGGCTTATCCCTACTCTCTCTAAGTTAAATTATAATATATCTTAATTACCATTGTAGTAACACCTTAGTTATATCCATTATAGTATTAGATATAATAGATCGTATAGAACGGGTAACAAAGGTTATATAGGAGCTATCTTAAGGAGACCGAGTAACGCGTATCTTCTGCAACGACCATAGGCGCTAGCAAAGCTTACCTAATGATCCACTAATAAGAATATAGCCACTAAATCTATATAGATAGAGAGATACAATACCTTAGTTTACCTTTCTTAATTTAGATATTAAACAATACCATTTCTAGTAGAATACAAAGCCGTTATATAGAATTACCCTCTATAGGACTATCTTAGACCGGCGCGCTATTACTTATGTTAGTAATAATAAGAGATATAGTACTATAACTATCTACGGCCTATATAAAAGAGAAACCACTACGACGCTAGACTAGATAAGCTATGGTTCCTCTATTCTTACTTTACTTTCGGAGCCTAAGAGCGCGGGACTAATTATAGTTTTAAGCGTAGTTATACTTACTTAGTTTTTATAGACCGATGAGTTTAAAAGTATATTCGATATATCTAATTAGAGATATCTAATACTAATAGATCTATAAGACGCTAAGCTAAATTATCTTCGTACATAGTAGGCTCTTATTAATATACGGTAGCCCTTAGCTCTCTATAGTATACCAAGCTATGGTAAGCGTTATATACTTATTTCTATAATAAAAAATAACTATTAACAAGCAATGTAGGGTACCTTGGCATGCTTGCACTCCTAGGAGACTTTAGAATACGCCTTGATCGTATAGTACGTTTCTTAAGCCCTTTATAAAGGACCGAAGCATTTCACCTAGGGGCCCCTTAGGACCTAGTACCCGTATATAAACTAGATAAAGATCTTATATAAGATATTAGGCGGTTCAATAGAGAAGAAGAACTCTATATACTATATATAGCTTATTTTACTTATTACTAGGATGAGTATTCCTATACGATAAGTATAAGCAAGAGTATATCTAACTATTGCTACTTAAAAGTAGAGCTATGTATTATTATATACTCTGTTTAATACGCTAATAGTCGACCTAGATAATAATAGTTTTATAGTAACTTTAGAAAAGCTAGAGATTATATAATATAGTAGTATTCTTAATCTATTTAGCGCTACTAAAGAAGATAAGATACTATTAAGGACTGAACCCCTATATTCTATTATATAAGACACACTCCAAAGTATATAAGCTGAAGTACAATTGTAGTACTTAGGACGAGCTGGTTTACAGCGTACCATAGCTATACGGATTACACTCAATTCTTTAAAGATCTTCAAGGAAGGTACACCGCGATATTAAAGATTATTACTATGGGATCGTCTACTAGAGGTTATACTACTAATAACATCTATATCTAAGGCTTAAGTAGAAAGAGATCAATGCCGGCTATTCTATTTCATGGTATAGTTATAAGAATAGGGTTATTAGATAGTAGTATAGTTAGATAGAATAATAGGGTGTATTCTATTATAGAACGAATTACTACCGAACCCTTTCGGTAGAAATCTAAGAGTATATATATAAAGAGACGCCGATCTATCTAGTACATAACTATTTACCGCCCTTTACATCACCTCCTAACTCTATTAGCTAAGGTATATATAGGTCGGGTCCTACCTAAGGCTAAGTCCTAATAATTATCCCTTCCCTCTAGGAAGCTACCCTTAGCGACCTAGATCGTTACCTATCTCTATATCCCTATCCTAAGTCTTATAAGACCTTAGTTATTCTCTACGCTTCGTCTTAGATACTTACTAATATTTACTAATCTAAGATTTATATAAGCGTTTTCCTAATAAACTGGATTTTATCTATCTTAACTTCTTATATAGGTAAGATTACCTAATTAGGCCTAGCGTATTACGTAATATAATTAGATAAGCCCGGGTACTACCTATATTAAAATCTTTTCTTAGAAATATTCCTTTCTTTAAAAAACTTCTTAACTCTTTATAGAGTTTTTTAGATTATTAGGTATATTACCCGATCCTTATAGATATAGATTTATATAGATTTACTATAATTTAGTATAATTTACGTAATTTACTAATTTTCGTACTATCCTTAGCTAGTAATAATATAATTCGTAATAATCCATATAAATTAATAATAATTATAATATAGTTTCCTAAAATCTCGATACTCTAAAGTAATTAGTATAGAAATAGACGCCTTTAAATAATCCCTATCTCGTATACGTTACTAATATATTAAAAGCTATTAATCTATCCCGACCTAGGCCGGGCTCTAATAATCTAGCTATATATTATTATAGTTATTACTTTCTATCGTATATTACTTATGGTGGTACTAAATCTATAATATATAGTACTTATATAACTAAGAAGCGTTATTACTTATAGGTATTTAAGTAAGTTTAAAGAACTTTATATAGATTTACTTATATTAGTATAGATTACTACTAGGCCTCTAGTAACCTCTACTAATAAGGAGTATAGTACTACCGATCGTAACGCCTTAGAGAAGGCTTTCTACGAGCTATATATCTAAGGTAAGGGTTACGCCTAGAAGTACGATTCTAATAAGATCCGTAAGGATTTATTAGAATCTACTATAGTTATTATTACCGTGATTACTAGGTAATATCGTTTTTCTTAAATCGTTATAGATTCTTACTAATATATATTAATCTCTATAATAGTACTAAAATCTCTACTACTTCGGACTTCTTTCTATATACTAGTAATATTAAAATTCCTAGAAAAGATTCTAGTAAAAAGACTAAGGTTCCTTTCCTACGCGTGCTAAAGAGCCGTAAATTTAGGGAAGATAGCTCTAATCTAGAAGTTTCTATACTAAAGGTATATAGTTCTATACTAATCGTTAAATCTTTTCGCTAATTTATATAATTCTTAGCGTGTCTACGCTAGTCCGTCCCTCTCTATCCTAGGTCCCGCTACTCTATAGATTTCTATAGAGGAGTTTATAGCTATAAGGCGCGCTATATAGAATTTATAGCGTCGGAACGAAAGGCTAGAGACTTATATTATAAAGCTCTATACTATGCTAAATAAGAACTAGCGGAAGGAATTAGATATAACTATCGCGGTAATTAGTACTTCTACTTCTACTCCGACTTAATTAGTTTAGATCTATAATAATAATAATAATAATATTATATAACTAGGTAGAGTAGTACTCTATAGGCCTATG